TCAATGGGGCACAGACATAGCAGGCCAGTCAATAGGGCACAGACATAGCAGGCCAGTCAATGAGGCACAGACATAGCAGGCCAATCAATGGGGCACAAGCATAGCAGGCCAATCAATGGGGCACAGACATAGGAGGCCAATCATAGGTGTAGTGTTCTGCCAGCAGCAGGAGACCAAGCTGCACGGATAGAGCTTCCTCTATATATAGAATCTTGGCTAATTAGGTGCAAGCCATACAGTATACCAAACCCTCATGGTAAAGTGAAAAAATGTGCTAAGAGCACTAACATAGGAACTCTGGCAGTAAGCAGGAAAAACATCTAGTAGTGTGTATGGTCTCATGAAAACTTGTCACAATAGGTATGTCCGTATCATAATAAAGTGTAGGTAACATAATCCCATGAAATTCATCTATTAACCAGACTAGTTGCAGAAGGTCTGGAAAATGTAACCGTATATTTGCCATGATATGAATATAGCTTTACCTTATTAGATAAGGCCCGAAGATCTCCACTGCATAGGGGACCTAACTACCTATCTAACCACTGTCTAACAAAAAATATATATAAACCCCCCTGTCACTTTAATTAGGTGTATACAGATGGCCAGGGTAGAGAACAAACTCATGGCAAAAAGAGCTTTACATATATGCCAGTGAAACAAAGCAAGCAATACAGGACCTACCATCAGGTCCTATACACAAACTGCTCCTTCATGATGCCCAATTTCAGGAAGGAGTAACCATCCAGCAGGGGGGTGGCACGCGAGCAGGCACAGCCTCCCCCGCCCGGTCGGACGCACGTGATCTGACTAGAAAGTCGGCCGCGGTAAGCGGCAATGCGGTAAAAAAGTTCTGGCTGTCGGATGCTCGCGCTGCTGTTGGCGAGCACCCCAGGGCCAGTAGACCGCGCACGGGACCGTCGGACCTGCACCCCGCGGTCCCGGAGTTCGTAGGAGGAAAGCTGTATACAGCCTCCTGAGACCTCCAAACAGAATAAAATCGCCGAAAATAAAACGGCAGATGGAAGAAAGGGGGGCTTATGGTGATAGACAGAGGGGGGAGGGGGGAATATGTGAAGCAACAGTGAGTAAAATGACAGTGCAGTATAGTATATAAAGGCATCATAAGGTATCTATAAAGGGTATATATAAAGGCACTGAAAGGTATATATAAAGGCACTGTAATGTCTATGAAGGCACAGTAAGGCTCACAAAGACCCCCCCATGAATCCGAAGACAGTCTAACAAAATAGGAAAGCATAAAATGCACAGAAAATCCCCCAATAAACCTCTATAAAGAGCTGTAAAAAGACAATAAAATCCCAAAGCCACCAACTAGAAGCAGGAGGCAGTGGTACTCTGACCTGTACTGACTGTGGAGCAGCAAAGAAAGAGGAAATTCCGCATGGGGAGGGGAGTTTTATAGTAACTAACTTTTTTCTGATTGGTTGTTTTTCTCTGCTGCTGTAGAGTTCTAGTAAAGACAGACTTAAGCAAATACGAAGCCTCCTGTCATGTTATAAAATTAGATTACTTAAAGTGTCCCTTTAAACACACATTTTATAGATTCCAAATCTGTTCATTGTATATGTCAAATGCTTTGAAGAACAACAAGAAGATATAATTTGTTTTACCACAGTACCTCTAGGTGCTAGTTTAGCAATCTGATAATGGTAGCACCATGTTGCTTTGTGGTCACCGGTAAATGTCAGGTGATTGTCATAACACAAGTTTGCATAATGGTTAGAATGTTGTTGGGAATACACATTTAACCTTTGCATTTTCAGAGGCATTGATGTCTCTCACTACACATAACGACATGTATGAGCTAAATGCACAGTGACTACACACAACTTTATCATCGCAGATATGTCACAGTGTGAACCGACAGAATTTTACGTTGAAGTTCGAAATAGCTGAGCTGTAAAAATGATCCATGTCGCTTGCACTTTCAGTTTAGCTATTTTGGCCCTGAAGTTTGAAATACACTTTGAATTAACTTAATTCCAAAAAAATCCCACCAGGGAACAAACGCGGGGAAGCCATATAGGAGAAATTGGGAGTGGGAGGTATGATGTGAGTGTCTGTAAAATATTTGAGCCATGTATGTTACTATGGGGCATTTTTATACATTGGAAAATTATTATTGAAGTCCTGAGTTTTTTGTTTGTTTTTATTTTGTTTACCATTTGCGTACTGATTTATTTATATGATACTGGACTAATCTTTGCGCAGAACTCTATTCCACACACATTAAAAATCTGATGTTATGTGTTGTGGAATGGAACGCCTCAAGTATACACATTCTTAAATGCAAGCACCTCTTAAACCAAAGTGCCCTATCGCTTATACTCTCTATCCCTAAGCGTTCATCAAGATCAGATTAAAGTGGAACTGTGACTTTCTATTTTTTATGTTGGCATGTCCTAACCCTCGCACACCTGTTTTTTTTGTTAGTTTGTTTCCAAAATTATGCTTATTTTCAGAGTTATACATAAAGAAAGGTAGTTTCTGATTTTCTTTGGTCCAGGGTCTGGGAACTCAGCTCGCTTCAGCGCTGCGTCACTATTACTAGAGCAAAATGAGGTCAGGTGAAACACCATCTGTGAACTGGGCAAGCATGTGATTTGACGCATATGCCCAGCTATGAGCGAATCCTAGAAATGTGAAGATGGTGGAGAATGCAGGGACTAGGAATAAAGATAACTAGAGCGTCCTAGCATTAAAAAATGGCTGAAGGGATCCAGAGATAAAGAATGAATGGATACCTGGCTTTTATCCAAACGATCATCATCTAGATCATGGAAAATCAGCTTTAAATTGATTTAGACCTGAAGGAGACAAATTGTAAATGTCCATTTACATTGTTACAATCTAGGCTGAAAAAAGGTCTCAAGTCCATTGAGTTTGACCTGTAAAACAGAACTTTTTATGCTGTTGACCAAAACAAGGCAAGGTTATTCCCTACAATCACCTGTATTCTGTACCTACTCTGTGTCATATATTTTTATATCCTTTTATTTTGCTTATATCATTTGCAGATAAATGTACTTCGTGACTCTCTTATGTATTTTCCAAATCATTGAGCAAGCATCAGAGAATTGGATTTTTTTTCAGGGGAAGTAGTGGGTGTCTGAGACTGTTATCTCAAGACACGGAGGCTCCAAAGGAGAAATGGAACAATGTGTCTGTATCTCTTCTTCCAATGCAATGTGTGCCCAGCCTGACTCTGAACTGAGCAATGTGTAATTTTTAAAAACAATATAAAAGAAAATAGAGTTTCACATAAAAAAAATGCCAACGGTTGTATGTGAAGTTCATTGTTTTACTCAATCGTATCCTATAGTATAAAGTGGCAAATTTGGTTAAAGGACCACTTTGGGTACCAAAACAACTTCGTGTCAATGCGATTATTATGCCTGGAGTCCACTGATGTCTTCTTACCTTTAAGTGTCAAACCAATTTTTGATTGGTTTAACACTAAAGTGGAATCCTCCAGGAAAAGACATATTACACGCTATGGGCGGCTTGTGATTGGCTGAGAACAACTTTCTATCCTCAGCAATGATAGGCTGAGAGCTGGTGTTCTCAGTCAATCACTGGCCTCCCATTGTAAATAATGCTTTGGAAAATGTTGAAACAGTTATCTGTAAACATAGCAGGACTGCTGGCCAGTTGCCCATGGGCCCCACAAGCATAGGGACCCCATAGGCTTGTCAATTTTTCAGTATATTATTGTGGGAGATTTATTCATAACCTTCAAACCCGTTTTTTTAAACTGTTTAGATGGATTAATCACCTAAGTATCATCTGTTATCTGTACATGTGATCTTGCTGTTGCAAACACATATCTTGACCTTGAAAACAAGGTACACGTACTTATTGTACATAAGCAAGACAAAAATTAACACGCATTATATTTTGAAGCCATAAAGCTATAATAAAGTTCTTTTAATATGTTTAACAGTCCATGTCAGGTGCCTCTCCCTGATCCATATTAAACTTTTGTGTGGATTAATCTCTGCTGTCTAGCATGTTTATTCATGTTTGAACACTGACTTTGTTTGAGGTGCCAATAAATATAAACGTAATTTTATCGCTAATTTATATTTTCATTCCTGTGGGTGGTTGTGTACGGCAGGGCCCCAATGCATTTCTCTAACCGGGGGCCTATAATGCTGTTAAGACCATCCTGACACAAAGTGGTTCATAGCAGCCATGCTTCTATGCCCCAAAAGCTGTGTATACGGCAATAGGCTTTTGATGAGAGCTGGAGTCTAGCAGGGTTATACACTGTGGCAAAACTAGCCACTTAAGACTGTATGTTCATCAGTGTGATGCTGTAGCTTTAAGGCTATCTGTACTGAGTGTATTCCCCATCTGTATTTTTTTTTTTTTTTTTTTAAATTTGAATTTTTTATTTTGAAGATATCAACGTATACATTTACTCAGTATATGAGGTTCTGTTATCAACATAGTTATGCGTTACAATCAGTAGTACAACAAATTAAGAACGTGGTTATTCCTCAACTCTGGATTATTGTCTATCTAGCACCATGATATGGCTAGCACTGTGGTTTGAGTAGTGGAGCCGTCCATGTAGGTATTTTGCATAATGACCCCTCTATAATACATTTCTGACAGTGCAATATATTCCCGACAATGCAATTTGTTTGGTAGAGCGCAGCAGGATTAATGGCACCACATGTGTATAGTAATGCCTATTGTGTATTTATGCAGTATCTACAATGAGGGCCTGCGTTAGAAATGCAAAGTGTAGTCCACGTGGACATTTATTCTAGACATGCGAGTATGCGTTGTCATAGTTGGGTCATATGCTCAGTAGTGTAGTCTCTTTTGCTATGTGGGATTATAGTTGTACCATGTATTTGGCAATACTCTTCTCTCTGCATATACATTGTGTAACTTAGTAAGGTATTTATGCATTATACAAGGCAGTGTAGGGTATAGAGTGGTGTAGGATATAGAGTAATGCAGCCCTTATGGTTATGCAGCATCTCTGGCAGCACCTTAGCTCTGATAATACAACAACACAGTTAATGCAACAACTCTAGTAGTGCGACAGCTCTGGTAATGCAACTTTTTTGGCAGATTAACATCTCTGGTAGTGCAACAACTCCATTAGTGCAACCTCTCTATTGATGCAACATCTCTGCACTGCTATATCTCAGGTACCACACCATCCCTGGTTCTGCAACCCCTTAACATCTAATGTAACATCTCTTAATATGCAACATCTCCAGCAATGTAATATCCCTGGTAACATTATATTAGGAAAATCTCTATTATGGTGGTGCCATAATACATTAGCCTATGAAATTTAGTATCGCAGTATATATAGTGTCGCTTCGCCAGCAGTTAGGCAGTCCATTCAGTCATGCCACTTATTAGTAATGCCATGTATGTAGGTGGGCGTGTGGGTCTCTACGTGGTCGTCCATGGAGAGCGTCCACTGGACAGGTGATGAGGCTTCAGGTGCGTGCCCTGCTTGTCGCTGTGTCGAAGTGTACGGTCGGTGGCTGGTGTTTGTAGGTCAGCAGGTTAAGTCCGGTTACCATAGGAAGTCCCTGTTAGTGGTGGTGTTCTTTCGGTCCTTCTTCTCAGACGGTCTTGTGTCTGCGGCTCTGTGTGCAGGAGTCAGTCTCTTTATCTGAAAGTTGGGTAGTTTGCCTTGTGTGAGGTCAGCCCCACTGGGACTCTCTGGACGTTCGGGGCTCTTGGCTATCGTGGGGATGTCCCGTGCCGAGGGCAGACCCACTTTTTGCAGGAAGGGCTCCGGGTCATCTTCTGATGTCAAGACCACACTCTCTCCCTCTATTTCCATTAGGAGCGTACCCTCCACTCCCCAGCGGAATCTCATTCCTGAGTCACGCAATTTCTTGGCTATAGGTGCCAGCTTTCGCTTCTCTGTGAGGACGGCGAATGGTATGTCAGGGAATATAGCCACTCTGTGTCCTCCATAAATGATTGCCCCCATTTCGCGGGAACGTGTCATTATAGCTGACCTTATAGTGATATCTAGAGTCACCATGATGATGTCCCTGGGTGCTCCACTTGGGGCTGCCGCCGATTTCCGCACTCGGAATGCTGCGGAGAACCGCTGTCTGTCGGCATCTCCCTTCACTCCCATGTGTACCATCAGCTTGTGGGCGTAGGGTAGAAGTTGTTCATCGGTTATCGACTCGGGGACCCCTCGGAGACGGAGGTTTTTCCGCCGGTGCCTTGCCTCAATTGTGGTCACCGATCGTCTCAGTTGCTGCACCTGAGAGGTAAGTTTGTCCAGTCGGGTGTCCCCGGCCGTCCGATTATTTTCTCTGGCCGTCTCACGGCTTTCAAGTGCCTTAACTCTTTGGTTCAGCTCCCCCACTCCAGCTTGGACTTGCTTGAGGTCCGCACCCCATATATTCCTCATTTCTGCGAGGAGTCTGTTAATGTCCCCTTTTGTAGAGGGTGTCTCGTCTTCCTCCACTTCAGAGAGGCATGATGGTGTTTCGGACTGGGGGGAGGGTGTGGGATCTTCTTCGTCCTGCGAGGCCTCGGATTCCGCATGTGTGCGGCGTGGGTCCAGCGCCATCTTTACGGCCTGTGAGTCTGTCGGCCGCTCAAAGGAAGTTCTAATATCTCGCTGGTGGGAGCTCGTCGGTCCCTGTGCCTTCTTATTTCTGCGCCCCATGTCTCTATAGGGGGGATGTCTGCGTTTTGGAGTTAAATCTCTGGTTTTTGTGGCTATTAATATAGATAGTTTCTCAGTCCCGAGCGGAGCTCTGTAGTGAGACGTCCGTTCGGTATCGCTGCTAGCCACGCCCCCCCCCCATCTGTATTTTTATGCGAACGAGAGCATTCGTATGGTGGCGACATGGAAGCCACCAGCATTCATACAGTAGTTTCACGAACAGTGAATTTCAACACTGTTCGTGAAACGAACAAACTACCGAATGGTAGACCACACACAGGAGGTCGTGTGGCTCCCATTAAGTATCGCAACATTGTTTCTTTCGGTAGTTAATTGATGTTCAGGGTGGCCGCCGTTCGGATACCGACCACGCGGCGGTCGGCCATCTTGGATCCTTTGTTAGCCCAGCGGTATTTTGTCGTCGAGTGCCTGGAACTAAAATCGGCTACTTGACGGCACGAATACCGCTGGACTTCCAGGCCTTTCAGGAGCACCGGTCTTTCGGTATTTTACCCCTGTTGGTCTATTCGTGCCTTTGGTGAAAAATGTATGTTGAAGTGTATTTCGTGCGGCATTTGGCTAATTGTGCTGGGATCTGAGCGGTACTTTCACGAAGTATGTGCTCAGACCCTAGCTATCTGCCGAACGGTCATTCGGTATAATAGCACGAATAATGTTAAAGTTATGTATTTTTGTGTAAAAAGCCAGTTCTGCTGCACGGAGGGATAATCCACTTAACTGGATATTTTAATGAGAGTATCCCTATCGTGCAGCAGTGCATGGTGGGAGAAATGTCTTGGTTGTCAAGTGCCCCATGTAGTCCCCTACTGTACAACCCCTGTAAAGTCAGTAGGGAAACCCTTTGCATGGGGAAACACATAAATACTGTTACTTGTGATTAAAACCTCAGTTGACTCCCAGCCTATGTGTCGTCTAGTTCTTGGGAAGGAAGGATTTATATAACGCTACCGGGATTATTGTATGCTGTACTTATTATACCTGGATTATTCTATGCTGTTCCTGTTTACCAGCGGAGATACTGTGGATTATACTGCCTCTCCGCTACAGACACTAACATGACAATCGTCAGACTGTTTCCAGTATACATTATATGGCTTTTCTGTAATGGTAGATACAGGTGTAAATGAAGTGTGTCATGGGAAATAGTGTCCCCAAACTGCCAAACTGCTATCCATGCAATTTCAATACCCAAGATAAAATTCTATCACAATACGGAAACTTTAACACATTTTACAAATTGCTCTGTCATACATAGGTCATAGTTATACATTAATTCCCTTTATGATTCAACTGATTTGAGTCAATTGCTGCCGTCTGTCCACCATAAAATCGTTAGATTTTCATTATCTAGCAGAGGCCTAGACACACCTGTTAAAGATGTAAACGATTATCTATTCTTTTTTCAATTTTATTCATTTTTCCAACTTTTCTAATGAGGATCTATTCTGTGCAAATAGCAGTTAACAAGGTACTAACACCAGAACTCAAAATTTACATTTGCCACTAAAAATGGAGTGAGCGAAATTATAGTCCCGGGAAGTAGAAATCTACCCCTGGTGGTGGGTGAGCAGTGGACCTTCCAGGCTTGGAAATGGCTAGTAACTTTTAAAATCTGGCTAACAGTGTTGGAATTTTAAGCCATGCTTTTACTATACAGCTATTGCTTATCTGCTTAAATCCATTAATAAGGAAAAATTATCTTTATGAAAATATGTTTCCTGCCACCTGCTTTTTGGGTTTGGCCATATATATACAAAATGTTACATTACAACTTCGAAACAGACACATTTCTGTTCTAGCAACTTGCCGTTTGATAAAGCTTGGCTTTCGCCAAGAAAAATTAGAAAGAAATGATTTATTCTTTATGGTGATACCATTGTTGCTAAAATGCTGAAATCTGAATATAGAGAGAGAGAAATAGAACTGGCTCATGTTAAATCAGAGTGCAATTGGATTGATTCTCTTGTGAATAGCGACCCAAAAAATCTCTCACAACAGACCCCGTACAGCGCATTTCAAACACCGACCCTTCCAGATGTTGCTGAACTACAACTATATAAATCTCTAGGCATCTGTTATATACAACGATTTCTGATCAACATCTAGGGGAGAGGGAATAATAAATTGACCTTCTATTTAGCGATCAATTTAAAAAAAAGTGCTGGTCTCCCAAATCTGAGATTAAAAAACTGGAAATACTTGTTGGTATCTTAATCAGAGAGCAGTTATTGGAAAAACCTTTTGGGATATTATTCAGACATAACTCAGGGTAGCTCATGTGCAGAGTGCTGCTGAATTGCGCTAGGCATCGGCTAAATGTCCTGAGATTACATCGCACAGCGCAAGCGCAGTTAATTAATGTGGACATGGTGCAGTCATTGGGTATATTTGCAGTCATTAGAAACCAGAAACAAATTAAAGGACAGCATTAAAGGAGTTGCACATTGAGACTATCCCACTAAATCCAGGACGGTTGGGAGGTACATAATGTCTTCTTGAACCCCATGGTACGCCAAATTAAAAAATAATGAATATATGGCAAAGAAAGAGTCAATAAAGTATGTGTGGCAGACGTGGAAGAGAGTTACGAGAAGAAAAAAAATGCATGTTGTAGACTCTTCCTTAATGCTATCAACAAGCGGTTTGGTGAGCTGTTTTGGAAAGAGGAAATATATGTTGTTTTGTAGAAGTTCTTTCAGAGAACCTTGCCTGTGTAACTACACTTAGAGGTGTTTTGGGCAATTCTAAAAACAAGTTAACCACAGGAAACCAAAAACAAGGGGGAGGAGTGTGGAGGTGGAAGAGGGAGGTGCAGGCGACCCTCTTCAAATTACAAGTTTAACAGACAGCTACCACAATTATTTCAGGTGTATTTCAGTGAATTTTTTGTTAATTATAGTCGTAGAAACACAATTAACATTAAATACAATAAAATAACGTATTGTAATAATTTACTAAAATGACTTTGAAATTATTTTAAAAAAAGGACGTCTGTTAAGAGATGTCACTATGATGTCATTTGTAAGCATTATGGGAGTCAAGCTTTGTTCAGCTGTATTGGTTGGCGTATGTGTAGTGAGGATGTAGGGCAGTGATTTTTTTTAATATTATTATTATAGACAAAGCATAGTTATTGGCTTGTTTGTTTGTTTGTTTGTTTTTTTTATAATATGCAGAATAAGGTTTCATGTGTTAAAAACAATATTGCAACAAAGGCAGTACAAAGGTCCAAACCCTCTAGGGCACAATGGAAAATCACAATATGTATAAATCTTGGCTCAGTGGGGCTTAAGTACGCCAGGGGGCCACCCCCTCCAGGGACTTATGTGTTGGGACTAACTTTGGCTCTATTGTTATTGCTAGAGAAGGTGTAGGGGGAATATTAGACCCAGCTTTAGATGTGACATCTCAAGCGTTTGACCGCAAGGTGTGCGGACCTATTTGCATGTAGCACAAACAATATATATGACGGAGAACAGTAAGTGGGGATATATTTCCACCCACT